CCGTGTTCCCGAAGATGCCCTGGTTCCGCAGAGCATCCATGTAGGAGCCGGTGCTGGGGAAGGGTCCTGGCCGCCCGCTGGCCCCCGGCACCCGCGAGCCCGTGATGTCGAAGAAGGCGTCCAGCTGTGGGGGGAGTGGGTGTCAGCACCAGCACCGCCGGGCGAAGGGGGCCCAGGGGTGCTGCTGACGCTTGTCCCTGCCTGGGGTGCACCCGTGGCCGTGCAGTAGTGTGTTTGTAGAAATGTGTTTGCAAAATAAAAAGGTGCACGTGCAAAAGAAAATGCATGTGCAGAGGTGTGTTTGCAAAAGAAAATGCACGTGCAAAGGTGTGTTTGCAAAGGAAAAGATGCACGTGCAAAAGAAAATGCACGTGCAAAGGTGTGTTTGCAAAGGAAAAGATGCACGTGCAAAAGAAAATGCACGTGCAAAGGTGTGTTTGCAAAGGAAAAGATGCACGTGCAAAGGTGTGTTTGCAAAGGAAAAGATGCACGTGCAAAAGAAAATGCACGTGCAAAGGTGTGTTTGCAAAGGAAAAGATGCACGTGCAAAAGAAAATGCACGTGCAAAGGTGTGTTTGCAAAGGAAAAGATGCACGTGCAAAAGAAAATGCACGTGCAAAGGTGTGTTTGCAAAGGAAAAGATGCACGTGCAAAAGAAAATGCACGTGCAAAGGTGTGTTTGCAGAAGTGCACGTGCAAAGAAAGATGCCCGTGCAGAATTGCATGTGCGAAAGAACAATGTACATCCCTGGCCTTGTGTGCTCCCAGCACATCCAGGAGGGTGCCTGGGGACACCCCCACGCCCCAGCAGCTCCCTCACCTTGGAGCCCATGCAGATGTTGAGCTGCTCCTTGAAGTACCCCGCCTGCGCGGCGGCTTTGCTCTTCTCCTCCAGCTCCTTGCCCAGCTGCTCCTTCTCCCCCAGCAGCTTCTTCTTCTCCTCCTGGCCGCTCTTCACCTGTTTCTCCAGATCCATCAGCCGTTTCCCCAACTCCTCCTTCTCCCCGGAGCAGTTGAGGTGACACTGGAGCAGGTTCATGTCACAGACGCTTTTCCCCACGTATTTGCTGTCCCGCTCCTGCTGCCAGAGGAAGAGGCGCTCCGTGCGCTGCGCCAGGGCGCTGAGCTGCTCGTCCACGGCGCCGCAGCTGTACGGCCGCACCATCTCCTTGATGCGCTGGAAGGAGTAGCTGACGTCCTCGCGCAGGGAGCGACACTCGTGCTTCAGCAGCTCCAGGTTGTTGCGGGTGGACTCGCAGAGCGTGCGGGTGCCCTGCAGCTCCCGCCGGCAGCTCTCCTGCTCCTGCGTCGCTTTGCCCAGCGCCGTCCCCGCTTTGCGGCAGTTTTCCTCCAGCTCCTTCTTGCCCAGCGCCGTCTGGTCCAGCTGGCTCCGCAGCAGCGCCTTCTCGGCTGCAGGGGATTGGGGGGGGGCATGGTGTGTGTCCCCCCACATTCCACCCCACATCTTGGGG